ATTATTATATATATATATATATATATATATATATATATATATATATATATATATATATTGTCTAAATCTTTTGCTCAGAAATCTAAGTATGTTTAAAAAAAAACTGAAGTAATGACAAACGATACAACCACTTTTGCCTTCACCAAAGCAATTCGCAGCGCATGGCTCATCACACCAATGTGTCCATTTGTCATTTTGATAACACATTTTTGATGGACAATCTTTTGGACGTGCCTTATGGTACACTAGAATTGAGAAAAAAATTCAGTCTTTGACGAGTTTTCAAACGCTCTAAACTGACTCCACAAGGAAAATCTAAACGTAAGGATGGAAATATTCCCCTAAACAAGTTTCACCCTTTTCATGCTTACAATAAATGCTGGATCGTGCTGGACAAATGGGCTGTGTCTGGTTCCCAGCATATTTATCACATTTTTCTGCTAGTCTACTTTGAGCTTGATAACTTTCTTCGACATAAATTAAATTGGATTCGCGATTCACTGGCTTTACCAACGATCTAAATTTTCTTATTTCTAATAGCTATCTAAAAGCTCTTACTGGGGGTTTATCATTAAAGAGGAATCATTTCACGAGGTAAATTTAAATAATTATGATAACAAGTATTTCCCCTACGAGACAGTGAAAGTGTCTCCAATATAAAAATAAGGAAATGATTGCATCGATTGATATGCAATTGGAATTTGGGTATCATGTGCACAATGTATAGAAACCTGGTGATTATGAATCATTTAGATAACTTTAATATGAATTTCGGAAAAGCTTGAAACTACTGAAATTAGTCTCTCTGCATAAAGATTAATTTTATCTCATTACATTTTCACTAGTAGGCTAAGCACAACGACATCCGAAAGCCATTTATATCATGTTGATATAACGATAACCAAAATGAACAATGTGTTATAAAGCAACAAAAAGCTAATTTTCAATCGCTAAGATAAGAGAAGATAAGCTATAGGTAAATCAGTTGAGAGTATTAATTTTTTTAGAGAGAGAAAATAAGATTTAGTAAAATTTAGAAATAAGATTTAGTGAATAATGAATCGAAATGCATATAAATACTCGAAATGCGGCTCATCTTGAAGGATTGGAATGTTGGTTAAAAGGTGTCTCGATAGTAAACAAGCTTCCTGTGAATCATGTTTACATTACTAATAACGAAATTGTTTTTTCAATTTCATCATTAATTAGACAGTTATCCGTAACTAGACCGTTTTTGATGATTCAAGATCATCTCAGTTTCCACTTGGTTTTGTGATGTACAACGACGATGTTGCAAAAGTTTCTGATAAAAAAAGGAACAGCATAAAAGTTTTGTGGAAAACATGCAACATTTGAGATTAGATAATAAAAAAAGCGTAAATCAATTTTGCAAAAAGAATGCAAAAAAGTATGAAAAGTTCTGTGATCAAGAGAAAAACAGAAAAAGCGAAAAAAAAGGAGAAAAAACAATAATGAAGTAGTTAATGACCTGATTAAATAGGATGACTAAGTGGAAAAGGAATAGCTATTCATAAGCAGTTTCTTATCTTATTGAAGTATAAAAGATATGTTGGCAATTTTGCAAAACATTTTTGATCCTTTTTCATTAATTGTAGAACAGAGGTTGAATTGTCCTTCGATTGCTATCAAGTATTTGGGTTTACACAGTAGTACGTATGTCGCTAAATCTGAGGTACAGTACATCTTTTTATATTGATAAATTGATAATGGATAATAAAATTATTCGGAAAAAATGAAATTGAAGATTGAAATATTTATCATCCATCAGTAAAGACAATGTGGATACCATCTGAAGAGTAAACAATACTTAGTAAGCTAACATCATACATCTAAGATTTGACTGTAGTTTCTTTTCATCCGAATACAATGGTATGAAATGATATTTGATATTCTCACGTAAAATTTTGATATTGATGTTGCACTTGACTTGGTCATTAGTAAAATCCTTTAGAGAAAAGCATCAGAAAGGCAACAAGAATTACGGAAACTTATGGATAATGAAAAAAAGAACAATAAGTTTATCTTTCAAAGGATATTTGTAAATTTTTGATTTAGTAATAGGGGCGAATTATGATTTTGAAGGTGAATGGTGTCGGGAAAAACCTATAATTTCCATAATAAAACACCAAGAAAGATGGTTTATCGATAAAGATTAACTTTTAATATTGTTATCCTCAGTTACTACTTTAAAATTAACTTCACCAGCTATGAAATATAAGACAGCTGTCAAAATAAAACTACCTGGAAATTTGGTCAGCACATCACGATTTAAACAATAGAGAAGTCTAAATTTAAATTTGAATTCCAGCTTTTGTCTCTAATTTAACTATTTTTTCTGATATAACTTGACAGTTCATTTTAAATCCTTCCAATTTTAATTAATTTATTCTCACAGTGCGGTTACTCCTTCCAACTGCCACCTGAAATGATTGGTATTCAGTTCATTTGGTACTCTGTCCTGGACATTCAATCGTAACTCATTAGAAGTTATTGGTTAATCCAGCAATCGCTACTCAAATCATTAGTTTAAAATCACATTCTTACTTTTTTCAGGCTTGAAACTTATTGCATTAATATTTATTCTTCAAACTGGTATTTGTGCACTAACTAAAGAGATTAGTATTTGCTTGTTTTAAAAACGTCTAAAATAACCTGAATTTAAAAGTGATCCTTTTAACTCATCTTAAAAGTGATTCAAATTTAATGACAACTTCAACTTTTGAACTGAACTCCAAATTAAACTTCAAAAATAATTGCATTCAATCGAATTTTTTCCTTAAAATCTAATCCAACCGGAAGATCACTAAAAGTAATGAACTCGGTGATCATGCGATCCGAGCACTTTGTCTATTCCTTACTCCTTTCCCCTAAAAAAAGGTCGGTTACACACAGTTTTACATTACTATAATTCTACAAAGAAATTTAAGTTTTCAGACCAATGAAAAAAGACATGAACGCGAACATAAACTTCCTACAAGTCGCAATTTGCAATGCAGTTATAATCCTTTTTCAGGTCTTTAATTTTTTTTGAAATTTATTACCACTGCTGATATGTTGCAATCTGAACTAATTTCAAATGATCACAATATCTTTCAATAATTCATAAATATTGATCAAGCAACAGACCAAAAAGTTGTAGGAGATAAATACTATCCGGCAATAGTTTGTTAAGAAAATTCCAATTGCCCTAATTTTCAGGTTTTATTAAATTCAAATTTCTGTTTTACGTGTCGAATAAGGAAAGGAAAAGGAAGGAAATTGAAGAAATACAATCAAAATTGATTAATAAACACCTCACACATTCAACATTTTTGATTTTGTGTTCTTATGCCTGGTAAAATAATTTTTCAGGAAGCAATGATTTCACTGAAAATAAAACAAAAACACTGATGAAGAAATTTTATGGTTTGTCAAATAAAATCCCTAAACAAATTAATCAAATGACCAAATGGTTGTGTCTTTCCATTAAACATAATGCCGATGCAATTTTGTGCGTTATTTATATCATTTTGAATACTTATTTACTCGTTTTCTTTCTTATTTACCGGATTAATTAATTAGCTGATTAATTGATTGCTCCTTTTTCCTATTCATCCACCAAAATGATTTTTTTTTTATTCCTTATTCATCCATTATTTTTTTCTTTCATCATTCACTGGATGATATATTTATTAGCTCATTAGATGTAAAATTTATTCATTAATTATGATTGACAGTTTGTTGGAGCAAAATACTTATATTTTTATCCAAAAATATATTTACATAGAATAAATGTATTCAATGATTAGCTTTAAAAAAAAGGCTTTTTAGGTTTGGTTCGGTCACTTTTCTTGGTTTGAACATTATCGGATTATTGCTTTTCATCATTATGCACAACTTAAGAATTATGTTTGAACTTCAAATTATTTCCCAAAATACTAAGGTTATAAGATTTTTAAACATTTTGAATGCTTATTATTCTTTGATGGAGAATTTCAAAAGAGAAAACAAAGTGTTCACGCCAGGAAGTGTTCATATTTTAGTTTGAACTAGTTTCGGATTAGAAATCTGTTTAAATGATCCGACCAATGGGTCTAGTGAACAAATAATGATTATCATATAATCAAATTTGATGAAGCAGCCAATCAGAATTTGACAATTTATAGGCACTGCAAAGACCATCTAATTACTTAGACTAATGTAGTAAAATATCCGTTAATGATTTGCATTTCGCATAACCATAAAATTGCTTTCAAAAATATCTGGAACTAAAAGGACTGAAATAAAATAAATTGGGAGGAAATTCTGACTCCAAAAATAATGTGAAGTAAAAAATAATATGAAATTTTGTTTATAGCAGCAATGTGAAAGTAATGCGAAATATTTTTTTGTTTTAGTAAAGTAATATTAAAAAAAGGATTGGAATAGTTAATTGGATTGGTTTATTTGTGTTTTCGTTTATTCATTTCCATTAATGATTACATGCTTTCCGGTTTCAGATCCTACAAATAGATCTTCAAACAGCGCTTAAAAAGATCAATGAAAATGCTATGTTAACCAAATCAAAATTGATTTATGATAGCTTAACTGGTATGGATGCAACCACACAAACGTATCCGATATTGCACCTATTTCGAAAAAGAGAATTGAATGAAGAAAATGCCCATCAGACAGATGTATGAAGGATGTTTAACTGATAAGAAAATACAGATTGTACTGATAATATTTTAGTCGAACAATGGAATGACATTCAAGTCGAACAATAACAATACTTTCATACGTTAATGTAGCAACAATATACCGGAGTGAATTGCAATTAATGTACATGGCATCATATCATTTGAAGTCGCAATCAAAATGCGTATTAAAACAGCGATAATTTAATAAATGAATTGGTTTGTAATGATGAGATAAATTTTTGTAAATATTTTATAATTCCTAAAGTGAGAAAGAGAAGTGGTAAAATTTTCATTGAGCGAGAAATTTCGGAAAATATGGAAAGAGGAAAGAAAAACACTTAACACTGAATGATCGTTCAAAATTTAATAATGAATGGGTACGAATTTGTTGGAAAAGTTTGTCAATCACTTCCTTATTCAAGATAAACATCATCCTTTGATCATTGGCTGATTGATCGTTTATTGTGTTTGTAACTTTGGAAAAATTTTATTTAATGAGAAAAACTATTAGCTCTTGTTAGAAATACGGTAGGACGAGAATTTTTGTGGAAGAGATTTGCTAAAAGCTTTATAGTAGGCATTCTTTGTTTTTATCATGTCATTCCTTTGTGAACATGTATCACAATATATCCGTCATCAAAATGTATCCGTCAAATTAAAAAATAAATCTTTGATCCACTACTAACGGATAATTGCTTAAATTAATGTCTAGGATATTTACATATTCATGCAAAAATTTTATGAAAAACTTCCAAATTTGCTGAACATTTTAGCACATTTCATTCAAATAAGAAAACAATCTGAAGTCGGTTGTTAGCTTTCTTTCAGAAAATGAGTGACGAATTAGATCATGAAAATGTTACAGATGATGCTGATTATGAAGATGATAATAGAGATTCAGCAACACCCCAAGAAGTTGTTGATAAAATTGCAAAAGGTGGTGAGGAGGTAATCAACATTTAATTCTTCGGTATTTTACCTTAACTGAGCTACTCAAAAAGTGAGTGGAAATCAAATGATGTAACAAATATATTTTATTGAATCTATTAAGCCAGTTAGTTAATTTTTATTAATTTACTAAGCAGTTAACTAGATTATAAATATTAATTCCTTGATTATTAAATTAATGAACAATATGGTTAAAAGTAAGGAAAACTGGTGTAAACTACAAAAAATGTTGACTTTTTATATTGCAATCTCTTCGCACATTTTTTTGCTGAATTATAAAACAACAATTTTACATTCTGAAAATTGCACAATCTATCCGAAATCCTCGTACAGTAGCATTAATAGTATTATCAATCATTGTTAACTGATTAATTTCCAATTACATTTAGATAATTATCGAATGGCATAATATGATCCTTAAAGAGCCACCAAAATTTGATGCGTTTTTGGAACGAGTAAATATGTTGAAAAATCGTTATCCAAATGTAATTTTATATGACCGATCACGTGTTAAGCTACGTGGTGACAAATTGGGTGATGATTATTATCATGCATCGTATGTTGATTCATACGGTCGATCAGGTTTAATTATCTTGTATTATAATATATATGCCTGTATTCATTATAAATTTGCAATATAACTTAGCTGTCGCCTATTTGTCATGAAAACTTCAAGAAATGATTCGCTTCTTTCCTTTTTCATTTGTCCGCTTTATATTTGTATAGCAAACTAAATTTTTCAGCAATATTTTGTTGTGACATAGCCAATTTTGCATAACAATTTATTAAACTGAAATTTCCAGACGGTTATATACTTGCACAAGCACCATTTGATGAAACGACAGAATCCGATTTCTGGCGTATGATCGTTCAGACAGGTACGAAACTAATTGTTCTCTTAACGGATGTTAATAATCGAGAAGGAAATCGTTTAATTAAGCATTTTTGGCCACAATCAAATGCAAATAGCCGCAATTATGCTAAAGCTAATGTCAAAGTAAATTGTACAGAAAGTGATGTCGTAAGTTCATTTCTATTCCCAATTCAATTATTCATATTATTCACATGATATAAAAATTATGCAATTGACAGATCAATGCTCAAAATCAAAAATAAATGTTGAAAATAGAATTAACCAGTCATTCTAGTTGTATTCTGGCACCAATTTTGATATTTATGCCTGTCAATGATACTTTTAGCATATAGAGGCAAAAATAAATAATTGGATTAATGAAATGATTTATCGAAAATAGGATGGAAGTACATTTATCAATAAAAACTGAGCGACTTTAATTTTGCAACTTTTTTTCAACTTAAAACAAAAGTAGAAATTTAATTCCTTCTGATATTAGTAATTTTTATTTACAAATAAAATTTTTAGACTACTCTGTATGACTGGTACAAGTTTTCGGTTAGCAATACTGTTGATAAACGTATGGATACAATTACAGTAATAATGTTGCATTATCGTAAATGGATATATGACAAGATTATTCCAGATAATTTATTGGAATTTCGATTTGAGGTTGATGGCTCTTACTCATAGTTACGATTATTCCCAATTTCATTTGCTTCAACAGAAAACTGAGTAAAAGTAGAAGAATCAATAAAAATAATTATTTTGGTGCTAAATGAAAAAGTCAAAGTGATGAGTAAGAATAAAAAGAAATTAAATTATTATTATTTTCCATTTTAGCTGTTCTAGTGATGATTTCCCAAACTAAAAATAAAATTATACAAAAAAAGAAACAATTTCTTTTTTATATTTTCGTTATGTATATGGTAAAGTGAGAAATAATTAAAAGTTTAAAAAATTTTTCATGTTAAAAGATGGGAATCAGAAACGGCGAAGAGTGGCTACATGGGACCGATTTGTATTCTATGTCCTACAGGTGTTCATCGTTCTGGAACCTATGCTGTTCTCGATATTGTTCTGGATCGAGTAACTGCTGAAAAGAAGGTGTAATCACTGTTAAATGCTAAATTGTGTACTTGTTAGGTTACCGAAATTGTTATACGGATATGGATATTGTTTAAACTGAATACAATATCACGGCTAAGTTCATTTTCCTCCACCTCTTAGGCATATTAGAGTTAACAGTACACTATCGTAATTCATTGCTGTTTTAATCAAATGAAACGTGTTTGAACAGTTTTGTCATAAATTTTAATTTAATATGCATGAAATATATCGGAATTAGAAAAGGAATAATTCATACAAATTTTCAAGAATTCCTCTTTTTCGAATCCTTCAATTCTTGAAAAGTGGCAGGGGAAGGCCCTCCTATCCTGATTAAATGTCTTATTTAAATTCCAGGTTGGCTTACTGGAAACAGCAAGTATTGTACGGAAGCAACGTTATGGATGCATGTCCTATTACTCACACTATAGCCATGTGGCTGATTTGGTTGTTCGATATGCGGTAGCTACGGGTGTCGTCGATATTGGACGCATAAACCAAAAGGAATAAGATAGAAAATAATAAATTATCATCTCTGTATTGCAATTTTGATGAAAGCTGTCTTTAATCATAAAAAGTAATATATTCAAGTTTCTTACAAAATTAAATCATTGAATAAAAGATAAGAATTGTGGGTAAAATTAGGTTGTAAATAACTTGAAAAGGCTATGGAAAAGAGAAAGAACAAAATTTGAGGCGCAATTTGATTCATATTGAAAAGTGCGAAATCTATTTTAGAAATTTCAATATTCGTGTGAAAAAAAATTTGCATACATCGATAAGTTGGAACCATGAAATGAAAGATGAAAGGTACGGAGAAGGAATAGAATAAAATTTGAATTCAAATTTGATTCCCTACTATTTAACTTACATCAGTAACATATCATACAACTGGAAATGAAATCGTGATTGGCTGGATTTAAAAGAAATTATGGCACTTTGCACATTGGAATTTTTAGCGTAACTCATATATTTCCGCTTTAATCAGTCAGTTCCAAAACGACTTTTAATCATTATTTGATTCAAACCATCTGAAGTAGGAAAGCAAAGTTGAACAAAACTGAATACAAATACTTTTGGTGTTTTATGTTGCATTATAAGAATACTCGAGTAATTGATTCATAGTAAAATCGCTATTGATTTTATCGATCAAGATCGGGGATAGCAGAAACGGTTTTGATTAGCACTTTCGGTATCAAGTCGATATAAAGTAGGATTTTTTCCATTTTTTTCACTTCCACGATATAGCATTTAAGGCTTCCTTTAGATTCGGAATTACCATTCAGTAAGTGACGGGCAAAATGGTTTCAAGCCATACTTCCGTAATATTGATCCATATTCCTGTATTCAGTTTATTGGGATAAGAAGCTGGAATTTAATGATTCATTTAAAACTGATCAATCCGTACAATTCCACGAGAGTTTTTCCTGCAAAAGGGACTTAAATTTCAGCGAACGAAATTTGGCAAAAACCGGTCTACCAGGAAATGTTTTATTGATTGGGATAAGTTCAACATTTGCTGTAACTTAAATTCGAGGAGAATGAAACTCTCGAAAATATTCAGTCAGTTTCTCCGACTTTCAAAAATTATAATACTGCCGACGTAATAATGTGAAGGTAATTAAACTAACTAATTCAGTGATAATTTCATCACCATCAAACTAGTGCTTAACTTCTTGACTGCTTCATCTCTTTTTTCTATAAATAGGTAAACTCTGTTCATTTTTTGATTATTACATTTTTATTGTTACTTTTAACTATTATGATCGCTAAAATTTACAAAAGTTAATAAATTCTCAATCCAAGCCGTTTTCAGTTTTCCATCTGACAGCTATATCATGAAACTTGTATAAATAGGATCTCCTACATTTCCGGACTTTTATCATCGCAAAAATTTGTTCAGTCCATACAATTCATGTCATGTGGTAAACTTCTGTCAATATACGCTATTGAAACAGAGTTTTCAGATTTCTCTCCAAGACAATCATTCTTCGTCTTGTTGTGACGATGAAATGATTCGTAAAAAAAGTCTAGCTGACAGCGCTATTCATCACTTCAAAGGATTCCTCCTTCTCTTAAATGATTATTCTTCAGAAATGAAACAACCAAAAAAATTATTGAAATCTGAAAGAGTTAGGAAAATCTCATATATCTTTTTCATCAATGCGATTACCCGATTGCTAGAATTCCATAAATTTTGTATTTATTTGATTTCCAGCGGTATGTAATTGATTAATAGCTATCTATGAGCACATAGTTTTCTATAAGCAAACTAAAGGAATTAAATGTTGTCAGATGTTTCAGGATTGGAAGCGTGGAAAGAAATCCAAAAAACTTTCAAAAATTCCCTCTCCACAAAAAGCACCATAATCAAAAATGTACTCGGTATTATTTTCCAAGCGGAAATTCTTAAAAAGATGAAAACTACGCCAGTGTTCGAGTAAAGTACGTATGAAAATTAGATTTTTAGATTTTACGCAGAGGCCTGTGTAACATTAAGTTGCATAACATTTGCGCTAGGATAAATGGAGAAATGATAATAGAGCATAAAGTAAAAATAATTAACTTGAGCAAATTCAAATCTTGGAATGTGGAAAACTCATAACCCGAAATGGGCGACTGAAATCTAAATCAATCGATTGAAAGTAGGGAAAATCTAATAGCTGATCAAGGAAATTCGTTTAACATCTTTTGGTCAGTTAATTTATAATTCTTAAATGACTTGCTTCCAGGAAAAGCGGCTTAAAGCACTCAGAGAATAGGTCATTTGTTGTTATCACTGTGCACTCCATTATGTCTACGAAGGACAGCATTTAATTCAATCCGGCTTCAATCCATATAAATTGATGCACCGTGCGGATTTCATTTGAACTGTTTCATTGATGTCCTAAGAACGACCTGCAATGGTATAAATATAATTATGGTAATTTGTTTGCACAGCAAAATTAGATCCTTGTAATATTTCATCTCTGATAAGTTCTTATCGCCATTAAAAGCCCATTGAAATGGCTAGTGTAGAATAAACTATCAGATTGTGTATGCAACTACTTCACTACTTCATCAGTTACATTCTTTTTCCTTTTAAATCAAGTTAGGCATTAATCGGCAATGATAACAAGTAATGATGCTTCTTCTCACACTAAAAATATGCGCAGAACTTCCACTTTTTGAGTAAAACAGTAAAGTGGACCAAAAAACTGCAAAGTACGTGTAAGTAATTAGATTTACATATATATATATATATATATATATATATATATATATATATATATATA